ACGCTCAGGAGACCATTCCATCATTGGACACACAATGGTGGTCCATGAAGAACCAGATGACTTTGGGCAAAGGTGGAAATGATGAAAGTAAAAAGACAGGAAATGCTGGAAATCATTTGGCTTGTGTAATTGGGAATGCCCAATAAACATTCCCTAGGACGAAGCCTGAATCCTAGTAATTCATCTGTTATCTTGCTAGTTGGAGAAATTTAACTTCATAAACATTAAACACTGTAACCTTAAAACACTGTTAACCTTAAAAAAAAAAAAATAAAGGCACTAATTCCATCATGGGGGCCCCACCCTCATGACCTTATCTGAACTTAACCACCCCCGAAGGCCCCACCTCCAAATGCCATCACAAGGAGGGCTAGGGCTTTAGTATATGAATTTTGGGGGTGGGGAGGGCACAGACATTCAGCCCGTTACAGCTAGCATCTGGTGTTTGCAAAGATCTTTCCTTTGACAAAGGTTGGTGTATCAGTGAGGGTCTAATCAGGAGGACATGGAGATTGGTCACACCTGTGGTAGAGAAAGCCAAACCAGTGGGGACAATGAGAAGCCATATCCCACTGCTAGGCTGCGGGGGTGGTGGTATCTGGAGCTGGAGGAAATGCTGAGGTTTCTGAGAAAGTGCTGAGGTGAGGTGGCAAAGGGATCATGCCCTGGTTCCTTCTCTCCTCCCCACACCCCCAGTCTCCCACTGGTGCTTCTCGCTCTGCTGGGACGTCTCTGTGATAGTGAGCAGAGCCAGGAGTTGTGGGAGAGGAGTTGTAGTGAGTGCTCAGGTGCTTTTATCCCCTTCTCCAGCCAGGTCTGCTCTTCCAATTCAGATTACCAGTCAAGGGTTTGGTTAGGCCAGCTTGTCACACTTAAAAGCCGGCATTTCTATAGGTGAACTCCACTTTCTTCCCTTACCTCCTGGAGGAGTTGTAGTTGGGCAAGGGAAGAAAGATTTTGGCACCCCTCTCTCCATTTATTTTTAAAACTGGTGCCATCCTAGCTAGTCATCTGTGACTTGCAAACCACAAACAGAGGGAGGCCAGGCTACTTATAGAACTCAGCTATTTTCAGACGTTCACATAGCACAAAAATCACCCTTTCAAAATATATAATTTCATGGTTTTTAGCATATTCAGAGTTGTACAACCATCACTGCTAATTAAATTTAGAGTGTTTCCATCACTCCCAAAAGACTCCATTCCCAGTGCCACTCATCCCACGTTCCTCCTTCCCCCTAGTCCTTGGTTATCTCTAATCTGCTTTTTATCTCTTAAATTTGCTTATTGTAGATATTTCACATAACTGGAATCCTACAATATCTGTTCTTTTATGACTGGCTTACACTTAGCGTAATGTTTTTAAGGTTCATCCATTCTGTAGCATGTGTCAGAATTCAATCCTTTTTTATGGCCGAATAATATTCCACTGTTTGGGTGTACCACATTTTGTTTATTCATTCATTAACTGATGGGCATTTGGGTTGTGTACACGTTTCTGCTCTTGAGAGTAATGCCACTATGAAAATTTGTGTATAACTAATACGTTTTTTTATGTATCGAAGCACTTAGTAGGTGATCAATAAATATTGGTTGAATGAAAAGTAATATACATAAATGTATAAGAGTGTATGTGCATGCACACTTGCATGCAAACAGTTTTCTCTTGCTTTAGAGAAGGAGCCAGTGTTTGGTCTTCAGTTAAACCCACTTAGTGTATGTATCTTAAAGCTGTGTCTGAGAAAGGTCGACATCCTAGAAAAGAATCTTAGCAAAATGATTCAGAGTTATTTTTATAATCTTGTTGAGAAGGGCAATAACAAGTTAGGTGAAATCAGACCATGCCCCATAATTGTAAAGTATGTGAATCTTGGGGTGTGAAACGTGTGTATGGAAGTGGAAACACATGTGCTCTGTTCTGTGGTTTCTACAGCGAAGTGGTTGGGCTCATGGTCTGAGGCTCTCTGGACTTCACAGTGAGGCAGGTTTTATTAACAGCCATGTAGCAACCGCTGATGGAGCCAGGAACCCCTAGAAGTGGGAGCAGAAGCTTGTGTGGACCCCCTGCTCCTTCACTGCTGATTGACGACTGCCTTGATATGCTTGTGCGCAAGGAGGGAGGACCAGCACATAGAGAGAATGTGACTGATTTGTAGGAAAATCAAGGGGTACAGCAAAGGATGCGTGAAATTGAAGACTGCTAGTTGGATAATTGGTCAGTTTTTTGGCCCATAGATTTCTGTAGTGAGAGACCTCTGACTCATTTGGTATAGTTTAGTGTCTTAATTGGTGGTTGAAAGTGCGGGTTCTGGGACCAGAGAGCCTCTTTTTCAATTCTGGCACTGTCATCTATTAGCTTTGTATGTTTCTTGATTTCTAAGTCTTGATTTTCTCATCCGTAAAATGGGATTAAAGATATCTGCACCATGTCGTTGTGAGGAATAAATGCACAGAGCATAGCATAGAATAAACATTCCACAAATGGTAGTTTTCTTATTAATAGTAATACTTAAAAATAAAACAAGGTCACAGTCTGATAGGTTTGATAGACTGCCTGAATTTTAGAGACTGCTACTTGTTCTTCCATACGATGTGATAAATTATACTTACTAAGCTCCAAATTTGTTTGATTGATTTAATACTTGGAAAAGTGAGGCCAAATGCCAAAGGCACACTGGATTGAAATGGGAGATACTCTTGCACATGGTTGCTGCTTGGGCCGAGCTATAACCATTCATGGAGGAGAGGTGTTTTCTGATCTGAGGATGAACCACTAGACGCAGTTCCCTGTTGGATTGGCCAGTGTGACCTTGACTCTTAGGGATTACAAGAGGAATTGATCTTTTGTTCAGTAGATGTCTCGGTGCCGCCTGTTATGGCATGGTACTATGGCATATAATTTTGTAAGGTGTAAACTTTGAAACTTCAGAAAAACATTTGCATACTGAGTGCTTAACACTGTTTGTGCCCTAAGTCTGGGGAGTTATTTGATGTTTGTGCATTTTCTGTAAATGTCACCACAGTGGCCCGTTAGAAGGGGCCTGGGTGGCACTGAGTGGCAGCTTGCTCTGTTGGAATGCCATTCTGCACATAACTCAGGCGCACGGAAAGTACTCACTCCCACAACATGACACATGTATTTTTGTGCTGTGTATAGGTCTGGCTGAGTATGGCATGGTAATTTTTTATGACTCCATATTTAGGAGTGACGGCAGTTGAAAAGTGCCTTTTCGAAATTCAAATATAAACAGGTTTTTTTTGGGTGGCTATAGTTTTCTAAAGGGGTATGTGGAGTCTTTTTATAGGAACTTTTTCCCTTTTTGGTTACAAAACAGTGGTATTTGCTGCCACAAAAAGTAAATTGATTCCTTCGTGGCTGGCTCACTGGAGGACAAAACCCCATTGGATTAGTGGGCAGAAAGCCAACAGGAGGCCCTTAACCTGGTGCATTTCAGCACAGGGAACCACTTAAAGGTGACAGCTTGCTGATGCTGCTTCCGTAGGTCATTGGACTAACATTGGTACCATTCCAACTCTCCTGCATAACTTTTCAATTTTGAAGTGACTGTACTAGTTTAGTTGTTAGATGAAAACCCATTCCCCAGATTGCACTTCTAAAGTATTAGAACATTTCTCAAAAGGGGAGTTTGTGTCTTGCCATGCACTTGTGTTTTCCTTCTCATCAGCTTCTCTAGTGTGCAGTTGTACTGTGTGGCCCATCTCCTCGGCTGGATGCCGTTTCCATCCAGCACAGAATAGATGGAAATTTGTGCTGTCTGCTTCAGCCTGTGGAGTGGGGCCAGCTCTGGGGAGAACCCTGCTTCCACCACGCAGAGTGCAGTGAGGTCATTGCCTAGTGACCTGCAGGTGGTGATGTCATGGCATACTCAGACTCTCCTGAGCCTTGTCCAGTTGGTATTTTTATCATGAATTTGGATAAGAAAATATGCTTACTAAATTTGTTTGAGAGAAAATAAGTTGGTTGACAAATCGAGCATCTAAAATTATCCTTATGGACCAAATCTAGCAATAAGTGTTGAGATGGGATAAATTTTCCTTGTAGATTGCATATAAATAAAGGTGTAGAAGAGGAGGATTTAGGAACTGTAATCCTGTTAGGCATCGACACATGATGAGGCCACCCAGGAGCCAGTGCCTAAAGTTCAGTTAACACATTAAAAGGAACATTAATAAACTGGGGACATTAGAGGAGGGAGACTGTATGATCAAGTATTTGCAAAAGGGTGAGAAGAAAAAATTCAGTCTGGATTAGAATAAGGGAAGATCCTAGGGGGCCTCAGAAATGTGTGATAA